GATGTATGGATGATGGATGTATGGATGATGGATGAATGATGTATGGATGATGGATGTATGGATGATGGATGTATGGATGATGGATGAATGATGTATGGATGGTGGATGAATGACGGATGAATGATGGATGGATGATGAATTCAAAACGTTCTAAAACCTATAATGTAACTTTAAGAGTGATTCCCAGTCAGTTTTCACACCTGATGGGAACAGAGGGGCCTCGGCTGTGAATTAGAGGAACAAAGACTTTAAGAAAGTCCTCCTGTTAAGGAGTTGAGGTGTGACTTGTCAAATCTACATGTGTGTGTGTCTTATCTCACTCAGCCTCTGAACCTGAACCCTCACTCTCTGCTCTTTGAGTTGAGAAAGCTCCTCGGATGAGGAGCGAAACGTCTTCTGTTACAAATAAAGTCCAGTTGTTTTTGTATTGAACGCTTTTTGAATTCATCATGTCCTGAATGACTGAGAATCTTCACCAGCATGTGGATGATGAATAGATGGATGGATGAATGTATGACAGACAGATGGAATCACATTTGATACATTTGATAAGAGTTTCAGTCAGAGTTCAGAGCTCACCACAGCACTGAATCTGCACTGGTGAAAGTAACTAATGATATTCTCATGGCCTCAGACAATGGACTTGTGTCTCCACTGGTCCAGTTAGACCTCAGTGCTGCATTTGATCGCAATATTTTACTACAGAGACTTGAATAATAATAATAATTAATTTAATTTGTAACGCACTTTTCATTAACAAAAATCTCAAAGTGCTACAGAGCGCAACTAAAATCAACGATAAAATCAACGATAAAATCAACTAAAATCAACAATAAAATCAACTAAAATCAACGATAAAATCAACGATAAAATCAACAATAAAATCAATGATAAAATCAACTAAAATCAACAATAAAATCAACTATAAAATCAACTAAAATCAACGATAAAATCAACTAAAATCAATGATAAAATCAACTAAAATCAACGATAAAATCAACGATAAAATCAACGATAAAATCAACTAAAATCAACGATAAAATCAACGATAAAATCAACTATAAAATCAACTATAAAATCAACTAAAATAAATAAAATCAACTAAAATCAACGATAAAATCAACAATAAAATCAACGATAAAATCAGCGATAAAATCAACTAAAATCATTGATAAAATCAACTAAAATCAATGATAAAATAAACGATAAAATCAACTAAAATCAACTAAAATCAACGATAAAATCAACTAAAATCAATGATAAAATCAACTAAAATCAACGATAAAATCAACTAAAATCAACGATGAAATCAATGATAAAATCAACTAAAATCAACGATAAAATCAACTAAAATCAATATATGAATATGATATTGGCATTACAGGAACAGCTCTGAATTGATTTAAATCATATCTATCTGATAGATTCCAGTTTGTAAATATAAATAATGAATCTTCATCATACACCAGATTTAGTCATGGAGTTCCTCAGGGCTCAGTGCTTGGATCAATACTCTACTTTATATATGCTTCCATTAGGTAAAGTTATTAAACAGTATGGGATCATTTTCATTGTTATGCTGATGATACACAATTATATTTGTCCATGAAACCCAATGAATCCAGTCAGCTACTTAGACTACCAGCATGTCTTAAAGACATAAAAACCTGGACGACCTGGACATTTTTGAGGGTGCAGAAGATTTCACTAACAGCGAAGGGTAGTTCAGAAAAATTGACTCGCAAGTGGACACCCTTTGCGGAGTATCTCAGATCTTTACCTCCTTAGTGTGTAGAATTGTGTAATTTACCCACCATGTGACAAAGTTATAAAGTCTGTAAAGTATTATTTGTTTTTTAGACGCCCCGACACACCTTTTTTCTTTTCTTCATTTCTTTTCTTTCTTTCTTTTACTTTTTTCTCTGTTCTTGCATTTGTACAATGTTTTATATTGTGAATAATATTGTATAATCTCTTGATAAATGAATGAAAACATTTTTTCAAAACCTGGATGACCCTAAATTTTCTGCTTTTGAACAAAGACAAGACAATTCAGTTCAGTTTATTTCTAAAGCACCAAATCACAAGTTGTCTCAGGGACTTTACAGGAACATTCACATAAAAGCATAAAAGTAAAGTTCTCTATCCAAGGAATCCAGCAGACAAGATGAATCTTTGATTTTGTTTTATGAGCCACATGTCAAAGACAAATCTCCATTTCATTGAATGTTATGGACAATAAAGTTGAATTGATTGATTGATTGATTGATTGATTGATCTTGGCTTCGTTGCAGTCTCCCATCAACAAAACGGAACCTGCTGCTTCCTTAGATAAAAAACTATCGTCCTTTATAACGTATGTTAGTGTTTCTGCTCCTGACACGACTTCTGTTGAGCTACAGGACTAAACTGAAATGAGTTGAATAGTTCAAGGTTAGTTAAAGGGAGTTGGGATTAGTTCAAGGTTAGTTAAAGGTAGTTGGATTATTTAAAGTTTAGGTAAAGTTAGTTGGGATTAGTTCAAGTTTAAAGGTTAGTTAAAGTTATTTGGATTAGTTAAAGGTTC